CACAGACATTTTTGTAACCAATCGACACACTTTCTACAATTTGTAATGGAAGATGGTTTTGTTGGGGGGGGGTTGTATGTTTTGTCTTTTTGTGTTTATTCAAAAATAGGAAAAAATCTTTAAAAAGAAAGAAAGTGATGGATAAGGTACAAATATGGTGTATGGAGAGCAGAGGAACCAATAATTGTTTAATTGTTTTTAGGAGTTGATGGTAAGATGAATTGATGTAAACATTTAATAATACAATATGATGTTGGCTATATAATAGTATACCTGTGGTTATATGTTATGAAAATGAAAAAATAAAAATAAAAACTTTATAATTAAAAAAAGAAAAGAAAAATGTATACTTCATCTTACCCTCAAGTGAAATATAATAGTGACTTTATAAGTGTGATTTCCATAGTGAACTATAACTACTACATCAACCGCCTTTCTGTGTAGTTTGTAACTCATAAGCTTGCAAGATCCTGGTTTAAAACCTTCTTCACTTGTTTTCCCAGAACAGCCAAACAATAGATACCAATACTGTGTATCAAGCATAGAATTGTTAAATCCCCATTCTATTCAATGGGGCTGCAATCCTAAAGTCTTCAACTTTACTGGACTCCCAAATGGCCACTTCTTATAAGAACCATTGGTCTAATGGTGATAGCATACAATATTCAGGCCCATTCTAGGTTAGGAGCAAGTGAAAATAACAATGATTAGGGAACGCTGTATTGAAACAAAAGGCAGAAATCAGTAAAGCCTTAATTAAAGACTTAGAATAAAGTTTGAAATGCAGATATATTCCTACACTTTATGTTGTCTATAAAGTTTAGAATTTTTTTAGTCAGATGCTTTAATATGGAAAATGGAAGACAGAGTGCACAAATCTTAAAGATGAAGAAAAATGAAAAACAAGGACTTTTTTCCCCAGAGAATTTTTTTATGTTGAATAAATTACTATCACCTTTAATCATGAAAGGTTTCTGAAGACTCTGAGGGTTTAAAAGGTTCAAATACCAAGAAAGAAATTGTCAACACTTACAGCAATGTATACCACTGTCCACCTACCAGTTTGAAAGCATGCAAATGCGAGTAGATAAATAGGTACCATTTTGGTGGGAAGGTAACAGCGTTCCATACACCTTTGGCCTAGAGTCACAGGACCACGGAAATTGTCTTCTGACAATGCTGGGTCAAAGCTGGACATGACTGACAGGGAAACCTTTACCTTTTACCTTTAACTAACACTACAATTCTGTATCAGAAGTTGTATTCTCTACTTATGAAAGATTTTTTTGTGTGTGTCTTGTGCTTGTAAGACATTTTATGAAAAGAATCTTACAATATAAGAGGCAGGAACCCACATGTTTTGTCAGCCGCTCAGAGTTATTTAAGATGGGCAGCCATCTTTTAAATAAATTAAATAAAAATAAAAATAAATGCATCCATTGTCTGATGGCTAATTGATTCCATTTTTTATATAGCATTTTCCATAACACTCCTCTAACCACAGGTCTAATGACTGAAAGCCCATCTGATTTCACATATGCAACACTAAATTTGGCATAACGTGTAAAGTAGCAGTTGAGGATTATCTTTCTAAAGGTTATTATGCTTTTACATGAAGTTGGACATCACTCTCCTACGAAGTCTCAGGGATAGGGAAAACTCTTTTTGGGGGGGGGGAAATTAGAATTAAATCTTTTTCTTCTCCCTTACTCACTCCATTATTTTATTCTGAAAATAATTTCCTCCTGAGCAGCTTTCCTTTAACTGTTACGATTGTATTATGTATATGCAACACTATACACAACTTGTTAATATGACAGGAAAAACTAGTTATGATTTCTCGGAATTACAATCGGTAGGGTGATTAAGAGGGGAGGACTGACATAATCAATGCAGAGTGAACCTTGACAATTGTTTACATTAAGCTGCCAAAATATACCTCTCAATATAAGGTTATTGCACAATTTGAAAACATCCTACAAATCCAGATTTTGAGTTGGAAAGAGAAGCAGGATGACCTGAACATTATTTAGAAGACTTCCTCTTCCCTATCTATTCAAACCAACTCAGCCAGTACTTCTGCTGAATAAGAGCTGTTATTCAACTTTAAAACTGTATGTATATATGTCCATGATCGTCATGTTTTGTATCTCCTTGACCCTTTACAGAAGCCAAGTGGATATCTTTAAGCATCTTTTAGCATCATAAGCCTCATGAACTACATGATGGCAATTTTGAATTATTTAAAATTGATTAAGCTCCTCATATAAATAGCTGTCAGGCGCCTCCTGAGTTGTTCTGTTATTAGTGTTGTCTAGTTAATAAAACATCCTGTTAAAAACCATGCTGTCATTTCTTCATTGGCTTGTTAGAACGAAGCACTTTTCCTCTTCAATATCTAGAGATAGATACATGGAGAACATAATTTGATGACATTAAGAATGTGCTGCATTTTTACTGCTAAGTAGGACCTATAGATTTCTTTATAAAATTATGTAGAAGCAGTTTCTCATATGCTGTTCCATTCATAATAATGTCAAGCAGCAAGGGCATTATGGAAGAATGAGCCAAGAATCTATATGCCTTATTCCATGCAGTGAGATGGATTTCTCTAGCAGTAGGATACAGGGAAAAATTGATTATGAGCCACAGAAAATGAGGTATAAACATGAATGGTGCATACATTAGGCAAGCTGAAAATGGGCCCAATGTCAGTGCAAGACTGAGAAAAAGAGAATGACAGAGTAAGAATAGCGGACTATAATGCTGCATTCCTGTCACGTTAACTTGTTTTCAAAAATGTTATTTTTTTAGTGAAAGCAATAGTCATGGTTCCAGAATTGAGAATCTCCATGGGGTAGTTCTGTTCCACTACTTTGGCAAGGGAGAAAATTGTTCCATATTTTTTACCACCCAGATTATTTTTCCCTTTGGATGTGTTACCTCATAGCAATCTACTAAATATAAAATAAACACCACCTCCTTAGGATAGGTGGGGAATTCCTGCTGCAACATTACTCCACACAGCTGCTCTAAATCTTCAGCCACACATAACCTCCATCAAGGGCCAGGGGTTCAACAGGAAAGATATATTAAGGTCATGTCAGGATACAGTTCAGTGAACATTTACATTAGCTAGGAGACCTTGCAATGCACTGCTTGTTGACATCAGTCTTGCAACATTACATTACACTTTTTTTTAACTGGAAGCTGTGTCATATTTCATGCAGAGTAGTATAAGTTGCAGTAGATCAAACTGGAATGTGAGGAAGGGTGCTAATGAAACTTATAATTGAGAAGCTGTCATATAAGAAGATCCATGATCAGGAAAATAGGAAAGTCAATGATAGTCAAAATATATATATTAAAAAGAAATAATCTCATTATCTACTTAAGAAAATGGATTCTAAAGGTCCATGGTGTTACTAATACTTTATATATTTTGAGAATTTATGCACTTGCTAGTAGAATGCAGAAGAAATTTGACACTATTAGCCAGACATTACTGACTAATATTGCTTTTTAACTATCATCTATCAAACCAAAATTCAAGCATTGTAGAAAATTTCAGCAAGGCCAAGATGAGATGTGGGTCTTATTGTAGGTAAAATATGCTGAGAGATAAAAACGAACAAGAATACATTATAGGAAAAAGAATAATGGATATTATCTTGCATTTACCTCAGAGAATACAATAACGAGACAGGAAAGATTACCTTAGAGAGAAAGAGTTGACGGATATTGTGCAAAAAAAAAACCTAGAATCTGCAGATATAGACAGCTGAATGGAATTTAGGAAAGATAAGTCCCCCTACCATCCCTTCTGCAGAACATGGCATCTACCCAATACAAAACAGTACACTGGATGAACTATTGATCATACAACAGCAAATGGAAAAGACTAACTTTACACATTTGATCATTTGGAACAAGTCAAACTGACATCTGTGTATTCATTTTGCAGCAATGTTGGTATCTTGCTACATTTTCCCAAGTAAAAAATCAGAGCAGTGTTAACTGTAACTACTAAGGTCTACAATTGGGGCTTTTGGCCAGATTAGATAGAGTGCCAGAAAGCACAGCTTCAATACTCATTAGATAACATTATTTCTTTATGCCTGCCTCTCTCAGCAGTAACAAAGAGCATATATATTTGCTTTCCACTTGTGGCTATCCAGTCACTATTACATCCTCCCTGTCTTATTATTTAATGGACAATTTATGGATATATATGTTTTTAAGCATCAGTTCCCAATGCTAGCAATTGTACTTTAGCAACAAGTGAAAAGTACAAGTTATTTCCCATTTGGCTTAAAACAGCATTCCTCAGCCTACAAATTAATCAGAGATGTGACATTCAATTTCTAGAATTTCAATTCATCATAGCCTTACTGAGAATTCTGGAAATTAAAATCACACATCTTTGTGTCCAGTTGGGATAGGCTGTTTTAAACAAGAATAAAATTGACATAGAGATTAAGAACCATCTTAATTGTGAACTGAATTGTATTTCCACAGAACTGCAATATGAGCATTGCAGATTTGGGCTCTTCCAATGCTGTCTGACTTTCAGAGGAAGTTGCAACTTATTTCATCAAGTCTATATTACAAAGAACTATATAGCACTGTGTACACTAATAACTGGTTACTGCAGTAATGAAAGGAATCACACCCAAGTACATAAGATATCAACAATTGCTCATTCACCATAGTTGATTAATAAACCAATGCAAGAACAAAATTAATTGCTACTTTTAATTCCTTGTGTTAGTCTATTCCTTCCTTCTTTGCATCTCAACTATCAAATAATTGTAACAGCTTTTACCTCTCTCCACATACTGGTGTTGCTCCTTGATGCTGCATCACATCATCTTCCAAAACAATACCCCCCAAATGACGGCTCTCATCCCTATATGCCACTTCAGCCCCATCCAAAGCCTTGGGTCTCAAATCAGATACATCTGTCTTTGCACTATCAGATACTTCCATATTGTTAATTAAATCTGCTTGTCCAACATCAGGTTCTCTGCCTTCTTCTGCATTCACCGATCTTGTATTTGATGAGGCAGATGAAGTGTCCATGCCAAAAGGAAGATGCTTCTCTGCAGGTTTTTTATCAGCTTCTAAGCTCTCAACATTTAAGTCACCGGAGATAGTCAATTCTCCAGTGTTAAGATGTAGAGTCCATTCAGATTCACCTTCTGCGATTCCTTGGGATTCGTCCATGGCCAAATTTGTTAAATTCCCAGCCTGATGCATTAGGTTGTCTGTTGATTCCTCTAAATTGACTGTGAATTTTTGATCAGACAAATCTAATGAGCCAAATCCAGCTATTAGATCCCGTCCTGTAGTATCATTATGTTCACTTTCTGAAAATTCAGAGTCTTTGATCCAATCTCCTCTACCAGTAGTATCCTCTCGTGGTTCAAATTTACCCAAGCAGTATTCATCAGACCAAATTGGTCTTAGGGCATAAAATTCTTGATTATCCACGTCCATTTGAGAGTTATTGCTTTTGATGCCACCATCTATTTCAATTCTACAACCTATTTCACCATCGTATTCTTTGGCTCCATCAGATTTACCAACAATGAACTCATCATCTTGGCTTTGGGCAATCTCTGTATCACACTTACTAGGCGAGTCAGACTGTTTGACATTCAGTTTAGACTCTGGATAACTGTCATCATCAAAGCCAGATGTATCTAGTCCCGAGTCCTGCTGAAAACTAAGCTGAACTTCTGGACAGTTCTGAGGTTCACTAGATAGTTCCACCTGATGGGCAGTGAACTCTCTTTGTAATTGACTAGTACCGTTGCCAGAACCAGATTCACTAGGCCAGCCTAAATGGCTGGCACTGAACACAGAAATTGGGGTGCTGTCATCTGAATGTTTAACACTGAACTTTGTTTCTAGTTGACTCTCAATAGTGTACTCACTAGGCACCTTTGCCAATTCGGGGCTGACATCTGATTCTGGACAACTGACATTTTCCATATGATATTTGGACCAGTCAGTTGTTTCAGCAGCAGCATCTTGATATTGGCTGCTCCAATCTGTTTTCTCAACTGCAACAAACTCACTGCTCTGTTGATCACTGCCAGCTTGGCAGAGACTAGGCCAGCCAGGCTTCCTCACATAGGGTTCTGCGTGCTGATCCTCAGCAGTACTGATGTTGTATGTGCTGCTCCAATTGGATTCCTCAGTTGGATGATCAGCACCATGGCTACTATAAGAAGCAAGCCACTCTTCTTGCACTGGACTGGAACTGCCCAGTAACGGCGATCCTCTAGCCCATTCTTGCTGGCCGGTACCAAATTCCATATCCTGACTTTTGGGATTACCAACAGTGTATGAGTTTGGCCAGTCCTGTGAGCCAGTGCCAAACTCACGATCCTGTTCTGTTTCTCCCAGCCATTTAACTTTGGACACATCGGCAGTCCAATCCAAGCGAAAGGTATCAGAATGATCAGCACCTACGATGCCAAACTCGCTATGAAGGTCCTTCCGTGACCATCCCAGAAGATCCTAAAAAATAAGAAGAAAAGGAAAAAAACAAGGCAAAGGGGAAAATTGTATGAGATTCTTACGTGCAAAGGATTGGGATAATAAATTAGAGGGATGTCAATCACAAAATGTGCAAATTATATAAAGCAAAGAAAAATAATCTAGCAATCTTGTCAGGTCTCAAAAGGGGATCACATGATCCCACAACACTGCAACCATCATAAATAAGAACCAGTTGCCAAGCGTCTGAATATTGATGTGACCATTGGGATGCTGCAACGGTCGTGTGAAAACTGGTCAAATCACTTTGTTCAGTGCTGTTGTAAACTGTGAATGGTCACTAAACGACCAGTTGAGAACTACTTGGAGCTGGGAAAGGCATTTGACAGCAATTTTTAAATCATTTAGATACTAAGAGGTAAAAATGCATGGGTCTCCAAATATTGCTGAACTATAATTTGCAGCAATTTCATAATAGGCAATGTTACTGGAGCTGTTAGAAGTTACAGTTCAGTATAGTGAGAACTACAAATTCCCCACCTTGTGTATGGACCACCACCTTTCAACTGATGAGTCAGGATCAACAACTAGGACAGTCTATCATATAAATGTTTGGTGAAACCTTCAACATTTGATCCAAAAGTCAAGATTAATTAATTAAGATTAAAAATAAAAATTAGCCCCAGTTGTGAAAAGTCTAAAGTACTTGATGAGACAATACTGAACTAGATGGACAGAAGGGATCTGACTTTTCACAGTAGCTTTCTACATTCCCAAGCTACACAAGCTGTTTGTTAATGGAAGCCACTTCCCCCAGTAAGACACTACTATCTCTACCTGTAATTCATGTATTACGATCCAATTTATAGTTACACATGTATCAATAGGTTTTAAAGCTACATCCAATCATACATAATTGCAGAAGATTACAAATACCAAAGACACAAATAATTCACATGTTCTGAGGTAGAAAAGCAGCACAAGCTGTAAAGATGAAATATGCCAATAAAAATAAGCAATCATTTTTAAGGAATAATTAAGATATTTTGGCAAGAAAGATGGGGAAAGTATAGAGAAGTTTATATGGCCCAATTGGAACAGAGTAGTGAGTTTGTTGCAGTTGTGAAGAGAGATTGGAGCAGCTACTATCATGAATTTCCAGTCAAATTTCAAAATTAATTTCCAATGGAAATTAATCATCCTAAACCTATCAGCCCACTTGATTTTTTTAAGCTTTCAGGACTACATCAATGGAATAAAATGTATATAACTTAAGTCCTTCTTAACTAAAAACAACTACGTTCACTTTTGGACAAGACTGTAATGGATCCAAATTATAACTTCTTAATAACCAAGAAGTTCAAGAAATCAAGCGTATCTTCAATGCACAAAGAGAACTGGATCTGGGAAGAGGAAAATTAACTTCTCCCAGATGACTAGAGGATTATTTCATATGGCAGCACCTTTTGACTCAGCCTCTGCTCTTGTACATTCTGCAGCCACCCAACCAGTTTAACTACTTTGTAGCTAACTCAAAAAAGGCAGCCTACTGTTCTTAAAGACAAGCCCTGGCTCAGTCATCTAACTGGGCAGGAATGTTTACTCATCTAAACATGCTTGTGTCCATTAAACACTTTCTATGCCACGTCCTTACGCGCTGAGGAGTTTGATGCCAGTAAGATCTTTTAGTCACAATTCTTTTTAAATAGAAGACTGCCTTCCATAAAATTATTACCGAGTACAATGTTTTTACCTGTGGTCCTGTGGGGTCTTCTACCTTGGATGTACTTCTTTTCTTTGCATCATCAGTGCTAGGTGGAGGAGATGCCAGAAGCTCATCTAGCCAATGTGAACTAGGACCAGGTTCAACTCCACCCAGTAGGTCAGAGTTCCCCATCTTGGCTTCCTGTGCCATTCCCAGGGCATCACATTCTTCCTGACAGGTGTCGGCTGTCTGCACCTGGGCACTTTCTGAGAACAAGATGCAAGGCTCTGCAGGAGGAGCAGTTTCCTCTACACTTGGTAATGGCTCCATTGCTCGTAGAGCCTCTTCCTCAAAGTTTGGGGAAAATTGGAGGAAATCATCATGATCCTCTTGAAAAGTAACCTCTTCAGCCACTACTGGGCCCTTTAGATTAGGGCCACCAATCTTTCTCTGAACAGAAGGACCACCAGGTGCTGACAACTCAAGAGTAGATTGGACTTCTAGCTGCCCCTCAATCTTCTTCCAGTTACTTTCAGATTCCTTACTGGCACTGTGCTCACTAGCCTCAGTCTCCTCCTCTTTCCCGATTTGTCTCTCTGAACCTGCCTCTTGATATGATCCTTGAATGGGAGGGATCTCTCCATCCAATTCTGCTTCCGAAAGGTTGTCATCATCGTGTTCCTGAATGGGAGAGTTGGGAGGAGATACTAGTCTCTTCCCACACAACTCCAGTCCCTGATTAGAGAATGACCATTCAAATGACTGTGACAGACTCCAACTAGACTCTCCTCCTAAATTCTGCTCTACAGGTGGGTCCTTCTCTCTTGGCAGTGCAGCTAAAGAACCTCCTAGTTCTTCCCTGACCATTTTTTTACCCTGTGGTTGCACCACTCCCTCTGAAGCACGACGCTGATTTAGCAGGGGAGCCTTCTCCTCAAGAGGACGAATTTGATTTTTGAGATAATCTTTTCCCCTGTTGAGTAGGGTGTCTGGTATGCATGAAGGGGACCCTGGAGGCTGATCGGAACGAACATGGCACTTTGAAAGAATGCTAGGGGAGCCAGGGGATTCTGAGACTCCTGTAAGACATTGGTGAGACTGCAGATTATATTCAATGGGCGGATGGCTCAAACTGGCAGTATGCTCAGGGAGAAGAGGGACTTCAGGGTATCTTGCAGAAACATCTGCCACGTCTGAAAGCAAGGACTGTCCTAGAGAAGTCTTAATAGGGGATCCTGGAGGCCAGGGATCTGCAATTGTTACAGGGGGATCTGCAAACTGAATGTGACTGACAGAGTCTACCAGAGGACTTCTGGAGGATTTAGCAGTTCCGTCAGGGGAACCTGGTGGAAGCAAAGCTTCACTACGTGGGACATCTGTTGGAAGGTACGGAGCACCAGGGGGTTGGGTTGTTTCAGAAGGGGCATCAGGAGATCCGGGTGTGACTCTGGAAGAGAACTTGGTCTGGGGGAAAGAGACACACAGGAAGAACAAATTAAATTACTTTCTTTCCCTGAAAACTTCCAAAACGATCTAGCAAAATCTTAGAACTTGATCATCTTGCATCCTACAGACCAAGAATTATTATTTAGAATATACTGCAATACTATCTGGCTCAGTTATATCCCTTTTCCTTGAATCACTAAATGTGCAGCATCTTCCTGCTTTTACACATCAAAAACTACCTTGAAAGCCTCTCTCCAAAGTATCACCCCTATATTGTTAAAGCCAGAAGATAATGAAATGCAAAGAGTGGAGCACGAAAGGGAAAAAAGAAGCTGAAAAAATCAGTCAACATTGTGCAGTAACAAACAAAAATGCATGCCCCACCCACCTCAGCCTTTGCCTTCTCTTTGATTAGATTTATAAAGAGAGAGAGAGAGAGAGAGAGCAACACAAAGCAGAGCTAAATAAAACACACCCAATGAGCTTATGGCTCTCTTTCCTGAAGTAAAGCAAATGGAGTTAATCATTACCTTCATTACCAATTCAGAGCAACCAGCAAGAGGCTGCTGTGCCTTCTCTACTAGTGAATTTGGCTACAGGCCGAGCAGTGGGAACTGTTTCATACATACCTGGCAGGTTGTTGAACTACATACTCTGAGTCACAACTGCTCCCTTCCCTCTGGCCATGGCCCCATAAAGTTGTATTAGCTTTGGTTCTCTGTGTAGTTAGCTTGGGCTTTTTTTTTTAAGATCTGAAGAAACACTGCTCTATTCTTCTTTGCTTGGACATGAAGTGGTTAGTTTAAAAAAAACAACTATCTAGATTCTCATAATCTACTAACCAGCATAGCTAAGATTTTTGCACTCCGGGGAAGGCCATTCAGGATGGGAAAATATAAATTACAGGTGATAACATCTAACACAGCTAGCAGAGCTGAATATTTCACTTTGAAACATCAAGCACCTGGACACATCGGCAGGTTTGTTTCTTTGTTTACAATGCCATAACCTATGCCCCAAAGAGCAACAAGTTTGGGCTAAGATAACCAATATTGATGCATGAAAATTTCCCTGCTAGTGTTACTTCTTCTTGAAGAGAAGCATTAGTAGAGAAAGGAGACACGCACCCTACAGGGAGGGAGCCTGGAAGGAGAGAGGTGGCAGATACCCCTGAGACAGAAGAGAGCCTGGAAGGACAGAGACCAATGGAAGAATTGCCGAGTTGCAGATAACTCACACCAGGAGAAGACAGTGGACTGCTGGATTCAAGCTGGTCTCCTTCACAGCCCGTGCTAGGCTGGCTGGAGCTGCTAACAGAAAGATGTATTATCATTACAGAACAGAATCACCTTCTATGATTCTATTAGTACAAAGGCAGGATGAATGCCAAGTAAATCAACAACCACAAAAACCAGAAATAAGGATCCTGAATCTAAAGCATATATAGCCAATCTGGAACCCTCAAAGGTCTTTCAGAGGACCACTGCTTACCTTAAACTCTTTGGATTGTGAGTTTCTACCATAGCCGTTATACTAAAGAAATGGGCATGTGAAGATGACACTCCTAAGTTGTTGCACAAGCTTCCAAAAACTGAGAAGAATCATCCTTCTTCCTCACCATCTTCATAGATAGAGTGGAGTGACTTAAAGTTCCTCCAATTTAAACTATCATGAGTATCACATTTTTTTCCATTTCTAGTACTAGTGGGAAACAGCCACTTCATTTACATTTTCTTGCTGCTCCAGGCACAAGATGTCCAAAGGCTAGTTCTCAAAGCCCATAAAAATGGGACTATCCCTATTTTAAGGGCATTGTGCCTATCACAGGTATAATCTACTTAACAATGGAAAAGCTATTTGTGGCTTAATCTAAATAAATGGATTATACTGTTAAATGCAAAAATTAAAGGCATGATGCCAAACACACGTGCAATCTACATAAGAATGAGGAAGTTCCATGACTGATCTAAATGAATTGATTATAGTGTTAAAAGCAAAAATTATGGAAATTTTAAGTCTTGCTGAATATTCCAAGCATCTTCCATTTCACCAGTTGTCATCTCCTCTACCTTATCAACAAATCACTTAGATCGGAGACCTAATACCCTATATTCCTTATATCTGCGATTTGGCAACCCTATATTCTTTATATCTGCGATTTGGCAAAAATGGAGCTATGAGAAATATGCTCAATTCCAGACATGATTAGTCAGAGAAAAGTCACATCAAATTGACTGAGACTGAGACTGATCCNGTGTGTGTGTGTGTGTGTGTGTGTGTGTGTGTGTGTGTGTGTAAGAGGGCTGGAATCTTAAAAATGTAGCAACCTATTCTTTTATTCTTAGATTAAAGAAAGCATTTGCCCCCGCTAATGCCAAATGTAAAAGTACAAAAAAAGAAACTGTCGGATACATTTGGTGCATTAATTTCATTTTTTTTGGAACATTAGCACTAGAACACCTACTAATCTATAATCAATCTCTGTTCTCAGAATGCACTTGATGACTCACCCAGCAAAGCTGAACTTTCAAGGTTACTTCGAATGGTCCACTGTGATTATATGATCCTTACCTGTCTGTAGGAAGGAAAATCTCATTTGTTTCGACCTCTGCCTCTGGCTGTTGAGATTCAGACACATGCTGCTCATTTACGCTCCTGTTTTCTTCCTTTAATTCCTTGATCCTTGATAAACTCCTCTCCTTAATTTCACAGGAGACTCGGTAAGCAGACCCTTCTGGATCAGTTCCTACTCCTTCTCCACTGGAACTTCTCTGAAAGGCAACATAACCCTTAGGCCCTAGGTGAATAGTTGAACTACCATCTTGGCTGAAGAAAGAGCGTACTAGCCGAGGCAAGTCAGAGCTGGGTGAACTGGGTTTTTCCATTTTGGCCAAGATTTCCTCCACTGTGGTCCCAGGAAAACGTTCTGGCTTAGTTGCTACTGGCACTGGTTTCACTTTGAAGGGGAGTGTGCATTTGGCTACACTAGACGATTCTCTACATTCCTCCTCAGAAGCTCTTTCAATAGCACTGGATTTTTTGGCGGGCTCAGCCTCTTCTTTATCTTCAGATGACTTGCCTCCAATGGAGAAAGGAGATGGAACCTCTTTCCCATTGGTAACTTCTCTTGGAGAGCACTTCAAGTTAAAGGAAAGGCGCTTTACAGCACTGCCAGCTCCACTGCTATATGGCTTAGGCCCAGCCAACAAATTGATCTTTTCTGCAGAAGGCACCTCAGAAAGCGTCTGGCGCAGTCCAGGAATAGGCTTCACTAGCACAGCTGGCTTAGGAAGAACACAAGGCTTAGGTTTCACAGGTGGCTTTGGACGGGCATCCCCTGAGAGAAGGATTTAATAAGAAATGGTTAACATGTGGCCATTAAATTATAAGGCTCCAATACAAGAATTCATAACGTAAATTACTGTTACTAAAGCCTTTATGCTTAATTTCCCAATTTTCAGGGAATATTATTGAATCTATGCTCTAGACCAGAGATAGCGAACCTTTTCAGCACTGAGTGCCGAAAATGGAGCATGCACATGCGCGCTCATCTGGGTTAGAGGAGCTGCCCAGGGTGCATGCACGTGCCCAAAAGTAAACTTACGGTTTCAGGTGCACGCATGTACACTGGCCAGCTAGTCTTCCAGTTACTGGCATGCATGCACGTGCAATGATTAGCTGGCCGGCGCACATGCTCACGCAGGAAAATAGAAGATCAGCTGTTCCAGTTTCCGGCACTGCCACATGCACAAAGGTCAGCTGATCGTCGTGTGTGCATGTGCACCACAAACCCGGAAGCAGAATGGGCAATGCTGCACATGTCATGCAACATGGCTCCATGTGCCACTTTGGGTATGCGTGTCATGGGTTCGCCGTGACGGTTCTAGGCTGAGGAAAGGTTTAATGGTCCACTGTCTTCTTGGCAAGCCTAGAGTAGCTTCCTTCTGAAAAGATTTAAGTCGTCTCATCCTTTTAGCCGTGAAAGCTTGTTCAAAGATTACAAGAATCTATGATTAAACAAGTGCAATAACATGCATGTATTTCAAATGTCATTGTTTTTCTCTAATAAAAAGCTGTATGCAATGTTGAGCTGAGAATGGAGTGATAGTAATGGGAAGAGGGGAATAAAATGGGCATAATTTTTTTAACATTTTCCATGAAGACTGTATGTAACCGGGGATCCAGGTCATACTGAACAGCTTACCAAGCTTGCAAATCCCAGGTAACAAAGAAAAATACAGCATAGCCCGTGAAAGACCCTATGGACTGCATTTTAAGGTGAAAGAGTCTCAGGCTAAAAAGTAAGATCAATCCTTGATAGGACCACCAAATTCACATGGTTAAAGCTCATGACGGTTTCTATCATTTTAGACCAGCAATTCCCTTTTTTCCCTTCATTATCCAAAACCATTTATCTGAAAGTGCTGTTTACCTAATGTAGGCAAAACATTTTAAGCCAATTTAAATGTTTTTATTGTGATTGGATAACAACACATCTTACCCAAAGAAAAATACATTTTTATCCATTTTAATATTGTGTTTACTCAGATTTAGTTTAGACTATAGGAGGAGTGAACTGTTAAGAATCCTAGTTTGTGTCCTGAAAGAAGTAACAACAACAAAAATCCTCCTGAACCTACAACATGGAATTAAAATGTCCTTTAATTTAGGGTTTAATATTTCAGAGGTGGAAAGGAGAATTATGCATAAGAATACATCAGAAAATATCTTCACATATGTGCAATTTGCAATAGCACAGAAAGAGCTATTCATATCACATTCAGCACTTAATTCTTAGGAGAACCACTCCCTTATTATCAATAGAAAACCTGGCCGGTTGCCATGTGGTAAGGAACCTATTTTTGCTTTCTTTTGGATATACCTATATCAGAGCTGCTTGACGGTGGTTTAGAGTCTTTACGGCCATTGGCAGCGGTAATGGAAAATGAAGAACACAGCGGCTGAGGCTTAGAATCCATCACATCAGGCAGCGACTCCGAAGTCAGCATAAAGGCCAGCCCCTAGGACATACACACAGGCACAAAAAGGTTAGGCAATTTGCAAAATCCTCTCAAGAGATAACCAAGGCTTCTTATCAGATGGCACAGCTCAGATATTAAATCATCAAAATGAAATTTCCCCAATACTTTGCTTACTATTTTTAGCTAGGTTTTAGCTTTAAAAGAGGTACCATTCCTCGTCTTTCTCTGAGAGGGAGGGAGGGAGGGAGAGGGAGAGAAAGAGGGAGGGAGGGAGAGAGCGAGAGAATGAGAATATATCATCTTAGGCTACTCCCAGGGCAGGCTGGAACAAGGATGAAGGGAGCACAAGCAACCAGCCCATGACTCACACTGAAAGTAGAAAACCTCAAATGCATCAGGGTTTAGGTTGCCTAACCTATGCTACTGCCCTGTTCAGCACAATACTTGCACCACCTTCGTCGCACCCTCTCCTCCTCTGCCAATTTGCTATTCTCTCCATTTAATGCTGAATTTTCCTCTTCCATCCCTCTGCTGATCTTTCTTTCTTTCTGCTGTCAGCTCTTGTCATTTCGCCACAGCACTCCCATTTGGCTGCTTTTCTAATCTGAGCCATTCTCCTCCTTCCAAGTTCCTTTCAGCTCCCCACCCCCACCCCACTAATGGGAGAAATTCAGCTCAGCGCCATCCCAGCTGTACATATTCCCAACCAGACTGTGCAGGGCAAGGAGTAAACATCTGGAGTGCTGCCCCTTTCCTGATTTCTCAATCACTTGGCAGAGCCACTGGAATTCAATGAGGTAAAGCTGGGGCCTGCTCCCATCACTACAGCAACGACCTCCCACTAGATTTCAACAATGGGCCAAACTCTCTCTAAGAAGGGAAACAGCATTACGAAGAGTGTGTGTAGCAGAAACTGTTCCAATTGGCTGTATTCGAAACAGAATTGGACCCAGAATGAGGCCACAGAAAGGCTCATGAAGAGCTCCCCTTTAGTCAGATGTGGGGGGGGGGAACTGTCACAGTGGACAACGGGAGGAGAACAAGGTATCCTTGAAAGACCGTACAGATGCCCCCATTCTCAGTCTGCCTCTTGGGGACCAGCAAGCAACTTCTTCCATGCTTGAATGAAGTAGACAGAAGAACAGACTAACAACACCCTGCTTGCTGCTTAGCCCCTCATCTTATCCCTTAGTATCTACAAGCCAACCTCTTCTGCGGATAACATGAACTGAAGTTGAATCTTTGTATTGCCCACATACAGGTAGTCCTTGTTTAGCAACCAGAATTGGGACCAGAAACTCGATCATTAAACGAAGCAGTTGCTACGTGAAACCTCACAGTACTTATGTTCTTACTTCAGCTTTCCTTGGCCTTACAAGACGTGCAAAGATTGTATATGCGAGGACTGGTTATAAAGTTAGTTTTTTTATCACCACTGTGACTACATACAGTCATTAAACAAGGAAGTAGCTAGACGAGAACTTATCTGTACTGCTGCTTTCTAGCCTTTTCTCTCTTAATATTAATTCCAATTATGCAAAATCTTAGATCTTAAAGTACCATCCTTTACATACTATTCAATCTGTTTTGATCTATAAAGACACACAATAGTTATGATGGTTGGAATTTCTGGGTTGCAGTCCCAACCTATCTACAGAATCAGATTACAGAAAACATTCATCAACCAGGATAAAATTGGCAAACATTTCAGTGTGCAAAATGTAAGCTAATGTAGCGGCATTTTATCAAGCAGGCCAGCCAGCACACACATAAATAAGGTTAATCGACATAAATGTTACTTGTCTCTGAAAAGTGACGTATTTGGAGAAAGAGAGAAATGTATTCACGTTATTATATTATTTATTTTCTCCCTGCACAGAAAAGAATGTTATCCATATAAAATAAGTATGAAGTAACTTTCAAAGAGGAAGTACATACTTTAGGAAAATATGCACAATGAGTAAACAAAGAACCAGGAAAAAAACTCTGTTTGGCTGAGAATATCACATGCTGAAAAGAATTTATTGAGTTTGTGAATAGGGAGAAATTATCACAGCAAAATTCTTTTCCTCAGAGTTTTTCATGTTGCAAGAACCGTGGAGGTGGGAGTTGAGGGATGAAAGGAGGCTTTTTTCATACCTCTTCTACATTTTGGCTTGAAATCCTTTAAAATCTAACCTTAACCCCAACTTTTCTATGCAGGTAGTCCTCAATGTACAACCTTTTGCATAATGAGCATTCAAAATTACAACAGCACTGAAAAAAGTGACTTATGACCAGTTCTCACAGTTATGACAATTGCAGCATCCCTACAGTCACATGATCAAACTTAAGTGCTGGGCAACCAGCATGTATTTACAATGTATGTAGCATCCTGGGGTCCTGGAATTGTCATCTGCAACCTTCTTAGGGAACATGTGACAAACAAAGTCAATAAGAGAAGCCAGATTTACTTAGAGCCGTGGTGGCGCAGTGGTTAGAGTACAGTACTGCAGGCTACTTCTGCTGACTGACTGCAATTTGGCAGTTCAAATCTCACCAGGCTCTAGGTTGACTCAACCTTCCAACCTTCCGAGGTGAATAAAATGAGGACCCAGATTGTTGGAGGCAAGATGTTGACTTTGTAAACCACTTAGAGAGGGCTGTAAAAACACTCTAAAGCGGTATATAAGTCTATGTGCTATTGCTATTACTAATGACCCCTTGATTCACTCAACAACTTTAGCAATTCGCTTAACAATCATAGCAAAAAAGGATTATAAAATGAGACATGACTCACTTAGCAACTGTATTGCTTAGCAATGGAAATTTGGGGTTCAATTGTGTTCTTAAGTTGAGGACTACCTGTAAATACTTTCCCACAGAAAAAAATGTTGGGGAGGGGTTTAAAAGTATTTGTAACACATCTTCAAATAAAGTTTTTGGGCAAGGAAATACATTGTATTATCCAAATGAGCCTTGGGGCTACAGTGATGAACAGTTGATATGCAGAAAATAAATGTGTAGAATTATAGTAAGCTACAAGGACCTAAGAAAGATAGGAAGATTCAGTGTGCAAAGAAAAAAAAAGTTGTTTCTAAAGCAGAGTAATTATTGCATTCTCTATAGAAATGTTCATTATACTTCCTTAGAATTTGGTGATGTAAGACAAAATTAGTTCCCTCTGTTTAGGAAACTAAAAGAAAGTGACAGTGATTTAGCCAAGGCAGATAAATTAAGTAATAGCTAAGCACAAATTTCAACTGATGCATCTATATCCGTCAGAGAAAGAAGAGTTTCCTAGAACTTGAATCAGAATCAACTGCAACTTGAGACACTGCAACTTTAAATTACACAAGAACCCTTCCCCCCTCCCATTGGGATTATAATAAGGATCTGGTTGAGGAAATCCTGGGGAACAAGCAAAGAGCAGAGAAAATATGGAATGAAGAAACTTGAGACACAGAGACAACAAAAGGTATAGTAAGAAGGCAGCAAGTGCCAAAACTGAACTAAGAAATTGAAATGACAAAATCCCCAAAGGGCACTGTTAAATATCTACATAAACTCCTGTCATAAAACATTCATACCTTCAAGATACTCAATAAAACATCTCCTACAGAAAAATCCAGGGAAGACGTAGCTTGTAAGCCTTCTCTAGACTACTGGTGGATTAAGCATCCATGACCATCATCATGATTATCCCCATATAATCTGTGATCAGCTGGTTCCAAACCATTTTTTCTTGAGCAGTGATGGGGACATTTGGCCTACAGATAGTTTAGATGTCAACTCTCAATGTCCTAAATCAGCAGAGGCAATGAGCATGATAAAATGAGCCGCGCGAGTGATTGTGGGTGCACCTCGGTTCACCCACATAACACCTATCCTCCGCGAGCTGCGCTGGCTACCTGTTGATCTCCGGGTGCGCTTCAAGGTGCTACTTATCACTCATAAAGCCCTTCATGGTAGTGGGTCTGCGTACTTGAGAGACCGCCTCCTGCCAATTACCTCCCTGCGACCAATTAGATCACATAGATTAGGCCTCCTCCGAGTTCCATCTGCCAGTCAGTGCCGACTGGCAACTACACGGAGGAGAGCCTTTTCAGTAGTAGCTCCGACCCTTTGGAACAACCTCCCCGTGGAGATTCGTACCCTCACCACCGTCCAGACCTTCCGCACAGCCCTTAAGACCTGGCTAGCCCATCAGGCCTGGGGACAAAGATAACTGTCCCCACCCGAATGATGAATGAATGTTGCTTACTATTTTACTTCTATGTATTGTTGTGTCTACTGTCTGTATACCCCCCCCCCTTATTTTATGTAAGCCGCCCTGAGTCCCCTCAGGGAAAAGGGCGGCCTATAAGCATTAATAAATACCTAAATACCTAAAATACAAAAATGTGATAATGCAGCAATATTTACAAGGCTAAATTTTCTTCCTTCTTAACTAAGAGGGCCACTGACACAGACAGTTCAATACAACGCTTCTTATACTAGTTGCCTTCTCCAACACACCAAGTCTTGTCGTTTACTTGCTCCTAGAAATTTAAACAAATTTCCCTGAATTATTGCATTCTAATTTTTTTCTAACTATTTAAAAATGCTGATCAACAATAATTGATATATCTATTATAATATAGAAATAAAGCTTCTATTGCAATATGTTTCTTACATATACTGCAATAGAAGCTTTATTCCTATATTATAATAGATATATCATTATTTCTTACAAGCTTGTACTGAACGAACCTAGTCGTTCCATTTGCTTGAAAATGTGACTCATGTTTAAACTCTACTTCTTACGTACCACTCTAAGGAGTGTCCCTGCACTCTGTTCTAAATGCAATCTAGCCAGAATTTGAAGCTATAACAAAGACAAAAAAAATGGGTGAAATTAACAAGCACCTATTCATTTCAGGTATATTTACCTCCAAAACCACAACTGAGATTTTTCCACTGTACTTTAAAAAAATCAGAACTCTTATTGTTTATTTATATAAGCATTCTTCAAGATGGACATAGAAAGGTAAGCTTACTAAACATTTTCCCCAATTTCAGCAATTCTATGCCAAAAGGAAAAAATAGATAAAAGCAGAAACTCTTGCCAAAAACAAAGCTAAAATTGAATTCTTCTTCCCTAGAATGTTAGCAGCCACATGGGAAGCCTTATAGGGAAAGGGCTGAGTGGCTTGGAGTTCCCTCCACAGTAGCGATAGGTACTCCAGATTTGGAGAATAAGTGATATTTTCTCACAACTTTCTCTTCTGAAAGTGTTTCATTATGTGGGAACTCATCTTGTGCAATTGGTACTCAACCAGGCTACCAGTTGTATAGCTCATCATCTGAAAGTATTCCTCCTTTGGTCACATTTCTCATAAAGGAATGAGACAATGAGGTTACTTCTTCATTGAAAGAAAGTAATGACAATGGTCCCCTCTCCTAAAGAGGTACATCTGGTGGGACCCAGAAGAAAGGTCTTCCTCATGGTGGCTCCCTCCCTTTGGAATATCATCTCCACAGAAATTAGACTGCCTTCCACTTTGATACTCTTTTACAAGGTCCTGAAGATCTGGTTTTGTCAATGGGGAACCAAGAGTGAGAGGGAATCCACCAAGTAGTTTGATTAATTGCTGTCATGGGGAGGGGTGTGTGTGTAATATTTTTACTGTTTGTAAATTGGGTTTTTACTTTTTATAAGCTGCCCAGAGACACTGAGAGTGAATGAGTGGCTATATAAATTATCTAAGTCAATCAATAAATAAAAAGAATAAAAAGAGAAAGAAAAGTTATTACCATGTCTTTCAACAGCCCCCCCCCCATATGCAATACAGTCTGAACTGTATTTTACATTCAAGTAAATCCCTTGCCATTTATGGATTTTTGTTTTACATATTATCCTATTTATAAAACATTGGCAGATAGGGCATTGATCTCTATTATATGGGTGAAAAGTTTACAGGTAAAAGCAGTCTTCCCGAACTAGGGAAATTTCCAGATGTGTGTACATCAACTCTCAGACTTTTCCACTCAGAATGGCCACTGATAAAAAATCTAACGGGAATTGAAGCCCATACACCTGGATGAAGCCCATGGTGAGAGAAGACTGCAAAAGTATCTTAGCACGACCACAGCGCACACGCAATTGTTAGAAGAACAAGGATTAAAAGCTCTTGTGGGATGGTTAACCAAGAGGGGCCTCCTTAGGGAAAGGACAGCGGCAGAAAAGTAGAGAAAAATAAGTAGGTGCAGATGGACTTTTTTTTAAATGGCAAGAATAGAGATTTTCGATGAAACCAGACTGGCTTAATAAAAACCCAAGCATAAATTTTATGATAAAAGACAGGCTTATTTTAACATCACTTTTCATAAAACTCTCTTCCAAAGCCATTTACATTCGCCAAAAGAGAAAGGCCCTGCCCACGAGTTCACAATCCAAAAAGACACACACAAGAGACAGGGAGTGGAAAGGAAGAGCAATATGTTGGCACAGATGTCTAATTTAAACTGGGCTGATCTTGGCTTCCAGAAGTTCTCCCTTGCAAAGCAATATGTGCCTCTTGTCCCTTCAGCTGAAAGGAACACCAAAGTGTTACCCTTCCAGCCTCCAGATAACTGTCCTTAGAATCCGATGTTCCTTCTGGTTGGTGGAGAAGCCAGTCTCTTGAGCCACTCCCCCCTTGTTGTGGTTTTTTTTTTCTCCCCCTCCTGGGAAGGAACAGTTTGTGGCTCTTTTAGTTCAAAAAGATTTCTGAGATCCAAATAAAAGCAGGGCAGATGTAGGTTATCCTAAGATTTTGGAAGCAAAGTGAAAAAAGCAGCCTAAAGATCAAAGGATGCAATTCTGTTAAGCAGATAAGAAGATGGTTTTAAAAGCTGGAAGGGGTGGAGGATTCTCTAGTTTGCCTACTCAAGAAGACAAAGAGAATAGATTATTCCTATCAGAGAAGGAACTGCATTGTAAACAACAGGTCCCACACAAAAGGCCAAAATAATGATGCCAAAGGGCCATTTGAAGAATTATCCTTGGCTGACTTCAAACCACTCTTCTCCCAAGAAAGGCAGGGACTGGGGAAGAACGTGTTTCAAGAACAGGTCAAAGGGTGTATTTTAGGGTCACACAGCCTGTCTGCATTCATTGCTATTCAGTAAGTTTTAAAAGGAGGTGTGTATAACCTGGAACCTCAGCCAAGAGAGGGAGTGGTTGGAGAGACGTAGCGTTGCAAAGTACTCCAGGCAATAAGAGGAGAGGGAGAACCCAGCTACAGGAAAACGAGGGTCCAAATCTCGGTGAAAAATCAGGGCAAGAAATAGGCGCCCGGAGTCCAGGCGACACACAAAGTAGCGCAGCCCCACACCATATGGCACCAACCTCACTGGCCTTCCCGCTGCAGCCTGTCCGCCATCCTTGCTCTGAGCCGGTCAGGTCTCCAGACCAGGCCTTTTACAAACCCTTGCAGCAACTGCGTACTAGGATCTCCAAAACAGAACGCCGCCGTGGTGGCTCGACTCTCCTCCCTCCTAACCCTCCAGGTCCTGTTTTAAAGACCCCAACACTTAACATTTGGGATGGTAGTCTCGCACCCCCCTTCCCCCCACATGCGTTCACTGTACCTTCGGGCTCTTTTCCCCTTTCTTGCACCCCTTATCCCCTCGCCGGCCTCCACCCCTTCCCCCCCCCCCTACCTCTCCCGCTCAGAGCCTCCGGCACCCCGCCACTTTCTGCAAAGCGAAATTTCCCCGAGCGGGATGAGTGAAGAGCCACGCGGCTCCCCACCTTCTCGGGGGGGGGGGGGCGTTCGCGAACTGCTCCTTACCAAGCTTCGTGATCCGGGGCCCAACGGAGGCTCCGGCGATCCTCGCACTCTTTGCATATTCATGACGTTCCCTATCAAGGCCCAGGCTGGCTCCGCCCGTTCTAATTCATATTCATGGCCGCGGAGACACCCAGCCTCACGTGTCACAGCCAGGAGGCCAGAGTGGTGAAAGGAAAGGCCGGTCTAGCGAAGGGAGGTTCAACTTACGTTGGACGAGAACCCGTTGCCTACCGCCTTATTAAGGAAAAAACTGGTCTCCGAGAACGGTTGAAGGGTGGGGCTGTGCGGATGCGCCTCCCTTTTGTAACCTGAAGCATTTGTGCAACGAGCTCCCCGCCCGCTAAAAGCATGGATGCTAACGAGCCTGTGATTTGCATTATTGCATATGCGCAATAAATACGCGATGCTCCTCCTGGCTGGTTGCGCTCTCCTGTAGTTATGACTAATGAGCAAAACTTTGAAAGCAAGTCCCTGCCCGCGCAAGTCTCCAACCCACGCATATTTTCCTATTCGATAAGTGTGTGTGTGTGTGTGTGTACGCGCACACACTTATATACTGGTATGTGTCGAATAAGAAAAGCCATGTCAGTTGGAGGCTACACACACACACACACATATCAACTGCGTTATTAATTGCCACACTCCGCTACAAGAGGGGCGGGCGACATCTAACAGGCACCACACCCACCCCAAAAGGAAGGCAGTCCCTTGTTCCTTAAAGCCCCGCCCAAATACCGATGGTCGCAACTCTATGGGGTGAGGCTGCTGCTGTGGGATCTCAGACGGGAAGGTTTCGCACTGAAGAATGTAATTAGTAATAGTCTGCCCAGCCAAATATTTTGGGACAGAGACTGGCTGGGACGTCACGCTTTCATATTTTTTCTCTTTTAGGCTATAATCTGTAAAATGAGTTAGTAATAGGAACGGTGCTTTACAGCCCTCTCTAGAGTCAGCATATCACGCTCCCCCCCCCCCAACAATCTGGAACCTCAGTTTACCGACCTCGAAAGGATGAATCAACCTTGAGCCCATGGGACTCAAATTGCCTGCAATCAGCAGAAATAGCCTGCAGTACTGCATTCTAACCACTGTGCCAACACAGCTCTTACTTTTGTGTTGCTTTTGAGAAAGCCCATATGCAGTACATGTGAGCTGTTAACTTACTCCCTTATTATTAGCAGGAACTGCTGAACCACATTAACCCCTGTTGCGTTTTAGCACTGTGTTGCATAAACGCAGCCTCTGTTAGTTAATCTTGGCAGTAGCCAGTTTGTTGTGTGCCATCAGTTGCAATTTATGGCTGTGAAAGTTGAAGGCTTTAAGAAAGGCTGAGCACCAAATAATTGAGGCCTTTGAATTATGGTGCTGGAAAAGACTCCTGTGAGTCCCTTGGATGCAAGGCAATCAAACTGGTCAGTTCTAGAGGAGATAAACCCTGACTGCTCTTTAGAAGGCCAGATCCTGAAGAGGAAACTCAAATACTTTGGCCACTAATGAGAAGGAAGGACTCACTGGAGAAGAGCCTCATGCTGGGAAAGATTGAGGGCAAAAAAGAAGGGCCGACAGAGAATGAGATGGCTGGATGGAATCACTGAAGCACTAGGCGTGAGCTTAAATGGACTCCAGACGATGGCAGAGGACAGGAAGGCCTGGAGGAACGTTGTCCATGGGGACATGATGGGTCGGACACGACTTCGCAACTAACAACAACAACAACCAGTAGCCAGATTATCTCTGATTATATCTGTCCCCAACCTGGCCCTACAGGTTTATCAATGATAGATCCATCAGTCTTGTACAGTAACTCAGTGTATCCATCTGCTGGTGGTATCCCAGGTTTATAGTTAGATCTTTATATAATGTGTCCAAAATGGGATAACTTGAGTCTGATCATTTATGCCTTGAGAGTTTTGAATTGATTTGTTCTATGAGCCATTTGTTTATTTTCATAATTTTCCATGGCGTTCTCATGAGTTTTCTGCAACACTGAAGTTCAAAAACATTTAATATTCTTTCTGTCCCATTTGTTCAAAAGCCAACATGGGATATCATTGAATCTGAATAGTTTCCTCAAGGCCTTCATTGCTACTCTTAGTCTGTGGCATATCTCTGGACTGTTAGTTCCTTTACTGTTGTTAGTCCAAGAAAATTACAAAATGCTTCCTTCATTTGTCTCAATGTTTAGACAACCAAAGTCAATCTAGATTTCCTTACCCACTAAATGCTGTGGGGAGCACATTGTCTATGTTTTCCTTGTTTTCAGTAATTTTTATATTTGATTCTTTCAGACATTTCTTCCATAAAATCTGTATATCTGCTGACAGGTACATTTGCAGTTTGTGGATTTGCAATTTACGGCCAGTTCTTCCCTTTGTATTCACCTGAATTGCTCAAAATGCTGATGTCCCAATTATCTGTATCAAAATTCAAGGCGCCTCCTTCTTCATTGCTTTGCTTTGCTAGCTTTCCAATTCTAACTGATTTTCTTCTACCAGAGAATTTATAATCCTTTGGAGAATCCACTCTGAAAAGGCCAAAATCCCTTTCTTACTTGTTCTTGAGCAACTTCTATCAGCAAATTCAACCTGAAGGTCCTTCTGGACCACATAACTCATGCCTAGTAAAATGGAGTCCAGATTTAGGGAGTTCAGTACATACTCCACACCAGTGGTGAAATTCATTTTTTTTAACTACCGGTTCTGTGGGCATGGCTTGGTGGGCATGGCAGGGGAAGGATACTGCAAACTCTCCATTCCCACCCCACTCCTGGGGGAAGGATATTGCAAAATCCAGAGAGAGAGAGGGGGGGAGGGAGGGAGGGAGGGAGAGAGAGAGAGGGAGAGAGAGGGAGATGGAATTCTGATTGGTTGTCAGACTCCCATGGGGATATGCAGGGGCAACTCTGTAGGCTGTCCTGAGTCCCAAGCTTGGTTGACTCTTGCTGGGTGAAGATATAATGAAAGGGCTTTTGGCAATTCTTAATGGCCCATTGACAAAGGTATGGGGCAGAGTTGGTATTCAGCAGGTTCTGACCAGTTCTGGAGAACGGTAGCATAAGTGGGGTGGGAATGAGATTTTACAGCAGCCTTCCCCTGGAGTGGGGAGGGAATGGAGATTTAACAATGTCCATCACCTGCCATGCCCTCCAAGCCACACCCACAGAACTGGTAGTAAAAAAGTTTTAATCCCACCCCTGATGTGGGGTCTGAGTTTCTGCCTCCCTTTTAGGGGAAATATTCTGCCCTTTTAACATTTCCTAACATATCTCACTTTCAAAGGAGAGGGGAGGGTGCTAACTTCCTACAAAATCTTTATTTTTAAACATTGGAACAGTTGCTCCACTATCCTGCTTGTTTACCTAGATAGAATTCAGTTGGCTACCCTCTTTGGAGGCTCTAGCAGTAAAACATCTGAGGAAGGGCATCCCCTACTTCATGCCAGCAGGCGTCATTTCCTGTCTTTTAGGGCGTTGGCCCTGTATTCTCCATCTTGTCTATTTTTCCTTCCTTTAAGAGGATAAGCCTCCCTCTTGACTAATTCTCCCTCATTTGCATCTCTGAAGGACTGGTGGGGGCCTTTGCTTGCTTGGGTTCAAAATTCTTTCAAATGTGATCTCTGTTTGCAGACCAGGCAGAATTTTTCTCTAGCCTAGAAATTAGAGGCTTCGGAGAATATCTTTGTTTCTGCTAGGTATTCCTGCTTGTGTATTTTGGATATTATAATCTTGATTATTGCTTGTTTCAGTACATTAAAACACAGAGGCAGACACATCTGAACAGAAGTATCTAAACTTCATCACCATTTTTAAAATAATGTTGATTGCAGATTTTAATTACAACAGTAAAAGCAACTGCAAGCTAAACTCAGAGAGAAAGAAAAATAGAATAAAAAGTGCAAAGAATGAAAAAGGAAAAGAAGATAAAAAAGAAAGAAAAGAAAGAAAGAAATGACTTCCCACCCACATCACAAGAAGTATAAACAAATTGCATGTGGTGGACTATAGTCTGGATTCCCAGGAGGGAGGGATTGCACTCCAGAGGGCCAAAAGACAGTCAAGGGCAGATAGTTTGATTGAGTGTTAAAAGGCTCCTCCCTAGCAATTCTCAAAGTATATCTTTAACTATGCAAGTAGTTGCTTTATCTTGGCAAGATTTCTGTGTATAGATGAAGAATAGTAAAGCAAATTGCTCAGAAGTAATTATACATATCTTTCTTGGTTCTTGAGGACTGATATTTGATACCTTTTCACTACCTATAAGGCTACAAACAAATCTCTCCTCTTCCCATAATCCATCACTTACAGGGGTGAATTCTAGCGTGAATTCTGGTGTTACTACTGGTTCACCTGTGTCAACTCGGCGCTGGATACTTGCATGCTATATGTGCGCTGCATGTGCATGTACAGTTCAATGGAAATTGTTCTGTGCATGCGCAAAACTCAAAAAAAAAGATGCCAGTGATAGCGGCAACCAGGAACCAGTTCGTGGATGTGGCCAGCCTGGGTTGCTGACGGTTCTGCGACCCAGGCTGGCATACCGGTAGCAACCCACCTCTGATCACTTACCTATATGCAAATCCATAAATCATTAGCTTTTCAGTCCTGGTGTCAGAAAAAGTCCATACGTTTTATTAGACATAGAAATATGTCTTATATTAACCCTGGTCAAACAAGCCAAATATATATTCCTTCCTTGTACTTCTAAACATCTTTAATTCATTCAGATATTGTCATTGGATTTGGTTTCTCTTTTTTTTTCTCCATCTTTGAGACTTTAATAAATCTTTTGTGCAAATCCAATGAAAAATCATTGTCTAAATCATTCTCTTGGTTTACAGCCTGCTCAGTTCAGAGATTTGGCTCTTGATCTGAGGAGATGCTTGCATTCTTAAACAGCTCATCTTTTCAGTCGGATACACAGTGGAGCCGATAGTCTTTGTATGGTAAGCTTTCTTGAATCTGACTTAAACCACTCTCATATTTCTCCATACTCTCACATTGCTACTTAGATATCCAGAGTTATGCAGATAGGCTTTCCCATTTTTGCTTCATCAGGCTTGTTGCTTCTCACCTGCAGAAATGCTTTGCATTTCCAGGACTTGCCATAATCCAAGAATTTTCAAAAATATCACATAATAAACCTACTCTGCCCAAATCTAACCTATGAAGATAAAAAGGATCTGGGATGTGTTGTCTTTTTGAACCTGTTTCTTTGCCCCTTGCAAAATA